AAAAAAAAACAGTTCAAATTCCTATTATTCATTAACCACATAATTTAAAATTGCAGTTGCAATAAGTCTGCAAGTCAGGTTACTGCTATTAAATTGCGAAAAATATTTATAACTCTATAACTATTAATCCAATCATAATGAAAATTAATATTTACATATTTTCGAACCTGCTAATAATTTTTACTTAGGCGCTAAAAGTTGATTTCCCTTGATTAAAGTGCTCAAATTACTCTTTAAATACCTGAACAGATAAAAAAACATTTCGTGAGATAATACAGTTACGAAAAATTATCATAACTCTATAACTATTAATCCAATTATAATAAAATTTTCTATTCACATATTTTCAAATCCGCTGAACAATTTTACTTAGGCGCTAAAGTCGATTTCCTTTGATCAAAGTGCTCAAATTACTCTTTGAAATACCTGAACGGATAAAAAAATATTTTATGAGATAATACAGTTACAAAAAATGATCATAACTCTATAACAATTAATCCAATCATAATAAAAATTTCTATTCACATATTATCGTACCCGCTGAACAATTTTACTTAGGCGCTAAAAGTCGATTTCCTTTGATCAAATTGCTCAAATTGCTCTTTGAAGACAATGAACGGATAAAAAAAATAAAAATTCGTGAGATAATACAGTTACAAAAAATGATCATAACTCTATAACTATTAATCCATTCATAATAAAAATTTATATTCACATATTTTCGAACTCGCTGAACAACTTTACTTAGGCGCTAAAAGTCGATTTCCTTAGATAAAAGTGCTTAAATTACTCTTTGAAGTCACTAAACAGATAAAAATAATTCGTGAGATAATATAATTACGAAAAACGTTCATAACTCTATAACTATTAATCCAATCATAATGAAAATTAATATTCACATATTTTCGAACCTTCTGAACAATTTTACTTAGGCGCTAAAAGTCGATTTCCTTTGATCAAATTGCTCAAATTACTCTTTGAAGACAATGAACGGATAAATAAAAAAAAATATTTCGTGAGATAATACAGTTACGAAAAATGATCATAACTCTATAACTATTAATCCTTTCATAATAAAAATTTATATTCACATATTTTCGAACTCGCTGAACAACTTTACTTAGGCGCTAAAAGTCGATTTCCTTAGATAAAAGTGCTTAAATTACTCTTTGAAGTCACTAAACGGATAAAAATAATTCGTGAGATAATATAATTACGAAAAACGTTCATAACTCAATAACCATTAATCCAATCATAATGAAAATTAATATTCACATATTTTCGAACCTTCTGAACAACTTTACTTAGGCGCTAAAAGTCGATTTCCTTTGATAAAAGTGCTTAAAATGCTCTTTAAATTAGCTGAACGGATAGAAAAAATTAAAAATAATTTGTTGGTCAATATAATTACAAAAAATGTTTATAATTTAAAATTTAAACATTTTTGATTATAATAAATTCCTAGTAATTTATATAAACAAATTTATTAGAATATGAAAGTAAGTGATTAAAAAAAATAGCTGCAAAAAATAATTTTTAATAATTTAAAAAAAAATAGCGATCTACAAAACTTTTGCAATAGAAAGGGGGGAAACTGCCGGATAAATAATTTTCCTAAATCTGAAGATTTGAGGAGATCATGTGTTCTATTTTTATTACACATGGCGTAATTTGTTTATTTACTAAATCCCCATTTATCTCAAAAACTAATATTATGCCGTTTCCCCCCTTTCTATTGCAAAGGCCCCATATAATAAAAAAATTTGAATCTTTAGAAAATTGGTTAATTAATATTATACAAATAGTAAATAATAAAATTAAAGAGAAGATTTTAACAAAAATATTTGAAACTTTTTTTAAAATAATTTTTAGTTATAAAATACTTTTATCACTAATATAACATTTAATAAAAAAAATATTCCTTAATAAAACTTCTAATTTATTAATGATAAAAATTCTTTTAAAAAGGAATTTCTGAAAAAAAGGAAAAAAAGTATATAAATAATAAGCAATTTAAATGTAAATTTAAACAAAAATTGTGTAATTCATAATTAAAAATTAATCTAAATAAGAATGCTATGGCTGATTTAATGTAAGTAATGCAGCCGAATTTTGAAAAAAATTATTATATTTATTCTTTTAATTAATATCATAATATTTTAAGTAATGCTTATATGGGATGGTACATACAAAAATCATGTTGCAGAACTATATAAATCATATGATGTAACAACCCATATTAAGTTTATTATAATCTTATTAAACAATATAAGAAAATGGAATTTCTATATTACTTGAGAATCTTTTAATATTATCTAATATTAATAAAATAGCAACTTAATTAGAATTAGAAAAGTCCAATTAATTTAAACCTTATATCATAATTACTAAACTCTTTTTGGATTTGGCTAAATGTTTAGAAATTATATAAAGAAAAAGATCGCCCAAAGAAAAAAACCCTAATCCTGAACGTAAAAAAAAAAATTTTTTTATGTATCACATGATCATTATCAAAATTTTTTATTCAATAAAATAAAATTTTTAAAATTTTTTCAATCTATAAGATGCCTGAAAACACTATGATAGAATTTTTAGAAATTGAGAACGATGAAAACTCTTCAAAGCAACGAATCGGTTAGTAATTAATAACTGCCAATTACATGTAAATAATAAATTTTTGATTTGATGTACGTAAATTATTTAAATTATTTATTAGCTAGCCTTATAAATAAATGTGATGGAAACTTTACAATGAACATAAACAAGAGCGAATTAAAAACATTTCCATTGAAACCTCCGGAAAATTGTGAGTTTTATTTATTTATTTTTTTATAAAATTTCTATTGTACAATTAGTTAATCTTTCGTTAACATAAAGTATTTATTCGTCAAAGTGATATCAAAAATCTCCGATTTTTTGCCACAAATAGCTTCAGATAATAAAGAACTTGTAAAAAAAGTTGCCAAAGATATTAACATTGAAAATGTTGAAGGCACGGAAAGGATAATAGAGATGGTAGATGATATGTCAAACTCTTTCATTTTATTTGTTCGTACATTAATAATAATTAATTATTTTATAAATCACATGTTTAGAACTTGGGATTAGGCGTATTCGAACAAATAAAAGAACCTTTAAAGTACGATATTATAATGGATCCGAAAGGGTCAACTTCTAATACTTCGACAAAACCAAAAATAATAATGGTTGATAATGAAACTAAAAATGGAGCGGCAATAAATGAATTGTTCAAGAAAGACATCAAAAACCCTAAAAGATCCAAATCACCATTAATTTTTAAGGATGATAATGATGATGATGACCGAGATTTTTCTAATATAATAATGAATCCACAATCATTAGATCATAAGAAACCTAATATAATCGTTCTTGATAATAACCAAAGTAATGATGTTAAGGAATCATCAAAACGATCAAAACGAGAGTGAGATATAAGCAATGTTTTCTTTAATCCAACAATAAATATTTTATTAATGCATAAATAACTATAACGTCAATGCTATTCCATAAGACTTTGTTTTAATTGTGAAATTAAACCAATGCTTTTTTGTTCCAAAATTGAACTTTTTCGTTCAAATTTATTGAAAACTTTATCCGGCTATAAAATTAACGTTCAAGTGAGAAAATCTATTTTATAATAGAAAAAGTCCTTTCATCGGACATAATGACAATACTGAAAAAAATATATTTATTTATTTATATATTTAATTGTTGTTCTCGAAAACTTTTATAAATCAACTGCTCACTCGCATTTGACCAGAAGATGGTTTAGCTATATCTACAGTATATTATCATATACCATTTGTTTTATTATTCTTTTTACTTATTAAATAACAATAACTTTCCCATATTTAGTCGAAGCCTGGAGTCAACGAAATATTCTCGTAATTCACATCACCTTTCAAGAAATCACCAATAGATCTAATAATTAAATCAGCTAATGGTTGATTGTATGAATATGGTATAAAAACTTTGAACAATCCTGATTCTTTGAGGATAAATCGTCGTTTCTTTGCTTTCATCAAATTTATTTACAAGTTAATAATCGATAAAATATGAAAAAATTTAATAATTTACTAGTAGTATTTTTGGTATCAGATTCCTATGAAAAATGTACGCATGTCTCATTATTTACTGAATTAGTCTTGACATTATATTTTATTTACAGTACTTTTGCCCGTAGATCTGATGAACCTTTATGTAACCTGTGGTTGATATGCAACCATACATCGCGTTTTCCTAAAGTGGAAAACTTTAAACGTGTAGAGCAAAAAAAAATTTTCCATCCTTTCATTTCCCTATTCATTCTTTACCACTCTCTCGCAAGCACATTCTGCTTTTATGTCCCTCCCTCACCCCTTTATTTATATAAAACCAAGTTTCTTTGGCAAAAGTTCTGCTGGTTCTGAATGAGGAGTCAAAAAGCTTGGACCAGAAAGAAACTGGGTTACCAAACTCCAGAAGGAATAACTGATTACAAACGCCCGGAAGGACTCTCAGTTGGGTTTATAGGTTATCAGACTAGTAGCGAATGAGTGTTATATTTTTAATCGTGTTGTGTTCAATTGTCTTTTCGGCTCGCGTTCCTTTGCAAATATTTAACAATTATGTATTTATATTAATAAAGTCTTTTCGTTCCATAACGTGAATTGATAGGAATAAATCAATTTGCACGATTAAAAAATATGTAAAATATTTAGTTTAAATCTTTTTAAAGATTCATTAAAGAACTTGCAAAGAAATAAGGAATTTCAAAAGTTTCCAATTACATTGCCGATGTTCGTTTGTATGTTGGAGCAATGTGTTAATGTTCTATCTTTACTCGCTAATTGCTTTTTTCGATTTTTGTTTTAATTTAGTTGCAGAAATAAAAATGTCTTTTGTCTAGCTTTATAAATGATTTCTTCCCAAATCATCAATAATAAAAAGTGACGGTGGATTGTTAAAATTCATTTTTTTTGTATTATTACAGACAAAGGTTAATTGTATTCTAGAAGTTTATCAATCTTCGCTCGTTAAATAAATGTTTCTAATAAAAGTCGCTTCCAATCATTATAATCATAATATATTACGATAGGTTAATGAAAAATATTTTTCCGATCCGCTAACTCTTATGCCGATCCCTGATTGATAATTCACAAAAATTACTCTCTACGAAAGATGCCAACAGCAGTAACACATTTTAAAACAAACATCTATGAATGTCTTGAAGCTTTACCCAAATATACACTTGATCAGCTATATAAAGAACCAGCTACTTGCTTGGCTATCTTCAGGTCTGTAATTATTTTAAATTTCTTTGGTTTTATTTGGTGAAAATTCAGGTGAGGAAGTACTCGAAAAGATTAGTCGAGTCAAAATCTATCCCCAAAGTTTTTTAGAATAATAAGTAGTGAGATTTACGGATGAGATATATCAAAAAATGTAATTAGTAAGTTTTCTTATGAGATACGTTTGGGTGTGAAAGAGTATGGGTTTCAACATATTATGATTTTCTAATTTTGACGGGTGGAAGTCTTTCTAGGAACATTTATTTATTAGAATAAAGAAGATTGTTTATTTGTTTTTATCTCAAAAGTCTAATTTAAATCCTTTTCTTACTGACTTTATTTCTTTTCGCTCTCTATTCGATACTTTTGAAATTTGATTAAATAAAAATATTTCACGATTGATTATAATTGTTACTTTATTAAAATAAAAAGACTTTTACCGCCATTAGCAAGGCAATTTGTAATGTCATTACTATTCACACAACCAATTAATAATCCTGTTAATTTAACAAAATCGGATTTAAGGTTATGGGTGAAAAATGAAGAAGCTGCTTTAGCGTATGTGTTAAAAAGTTTTTTATTTTATTTTGAGATTTCTTTTTTATTTCTAATTGACTTTTCACTTTTTTATAAAGTAAATTTGATGAAGCGTTAGAGAAATTATCGAAATTAAGTATAATGACAATAGATCAATCTGGTTATATACAAATGAATTGTGAATTTCGAGAACGTTTTCGAGATTGTTTAACAGGAGGGTAAATATTTATTTCTTTAAGCTTCTATTTTAATTTTAATTGTTTTGTTAATTAATTATTTTTTCACCCCAAAAAGAGGAGATCATCAAAGTTTTGGAGTACCATGTAAAAAACCAGCAAGCGATAGGCCGGACATAGCGTTTTTGGATAGACATGCAATGAAACAATGGGAGGAAATCTTACACTTTATGGTGGGGACTGAAAGTATGAGTCAGCCAAGCGCCGCTGTGCTTAAGGTTGTTACTAGGGCTAAATTAATGAAAGAGGGGTAAATAAAATAATCAAAAAAATTTTTTTTCTTTATTTTGATGAAAATTTCTAATCTCGGATTTCCTTTGTAATAGGAAAGACAGACTTATGATTACGAATAAAGGATTCCAATTTTTATTACAAGATGTTAATACTCAAGTATGGGCGTTTTTAATCCAATATTTAGATATTGCTGATGAGGTAAGACAAAAGCAATATTTTTTTTATTAAAAAAAAAAGGAATATTTTTTAAAGTTTTTAAAATTATTTAAATTTCGTTTAGCTGTTACAGATGAACGTAGTGGAAGTATTAAATTTCTTTTTTATGTTGGGAAGTTTAGAATTAGGGATGGTATGCAAAAATGGTTCATTATCTTTTAGAAAAGATTTGCTTTGTCGTAAAAGTCACGTTTTTAATAGGATTTGTAAATAAATTTTTTTTTTTAGGATTATTCGGTTAAAGGGTTAACAGATACTCAAAAACAATTACTCGATGATTTAGCTAATTTCGGCCTTGCATACCGTAGAAAGGTATTTTATCTTCTCGATATACTGAAGTCACTGTAACTTTGGGTATATAGAGAATTTCATTAACAAGATTCTATGTGTGGTATATCGAGATTGACCATATTACTTACTTACTATTTAATTTACGTCTTTTTTTTTATATTACGCGTTCCTTTTTAGTTAAATATTTTAATATTCCTAAATTGTGTAGAAAGGGTCATCAAGATATTATCCAACCAGACTTGCAACTACGTTAACATCCGGTAATTCGGCCGTGGTATCATCAGCTGTAACTTCTAGTGCTAGTACAACGACTGGTGAAGACGGAGCCACGGAACAAGGATTTATTATTGTTGAAACCAATTATAAACTTTACGCGTATACAGGTTATTTGTAATGAGGAGTTTAAAGCTTTCTTTGATGATTACGAGCTTTTATTTGACATTTTTTTTTTTTTTTAAAGAATCCAAATTACAAATTTCAGTGCTAAGACTATTTTGTGAACTTCAAACTAGATTTGCAAATATGGTATATGCATTGATTACTCGTGACAGTGTCAGAAAGGCATTAAAGCATGGCATCACCGCAAATCAGGTACTGAAGAAATTCTTGGTTTTGAGGCACACTTTTAACCTTTATTATCGTAAATGGACATATATTGACGGAAAATTTTGTTTTCCTTTAAAATAATGTAAATGTTTAGATAATTTCATATTTATCCAGTCATGCACACCCACAGATGAAGAAACGAATACCTTTATTACCGCCAACAGTCGTGGATCAAATACGATTATGGGAAATAGAGCGTAATCGTTTAGAAGCGACTGAAGGTACGTACAATTTTTTTTTTCAAATATATATATATATATATATATTGATTTTTATCTTGTTGTAGGTTATTTATACAAAGAATTTCGAAATCAAGGAGATTATGAGATGGTATTGAAATACGCAACAAATCATGGATTTGTAATTTGGTCTAACGAAAGGAAACGGATGTTTAGTGTGACGGAGGAAGGACATGAGCACGTTAGAAGTTATATAAAGAAAAAGATCGCACAAAGAAAAACTAATGGTGGTGGTGGTAGTGGTGTTGGCACCCCTAATCATCAAAGTAACGGTAGTCCTTCTGTACGTTAAATACCTAAAATAAAAGATTTCATTGGATCAGATAATCAGTAAACTCTCCATGTATCACATTCATTAAAATAAAAAATTTTCTTGCATACCAATCGGTTGGTAATTAATAAATGTCAATTATATGTAAAATAATAAAGACGATAATTAAATTATTTATTAGCTAGCCTGATAAATGGATATGATGAAAACTTTACAAAGAACATAAAAAAGAGCGAATTAAAAACATTTTCCATTGAAACTTCCAGAAATTTGTTAGGTTATGTTATAAAATTTCTATTTTGCAATTAGGCTTGTAATCTTTCGTTAAAGTATTTATGTTATCATGGATTTCCGATTTTTTGCGACAAATAGTTTCAGATAATAAAGAACTTGTAAAAAAAAGTTGCAATATTGAAAATGTTGAAGGTAGGAAAGAATAGGGTGATATGCCAAATTCTTTTTGTTCGCTCATTATAATGTATTATATATCACACGTTCAGAACCTGTAATTAAGCGTATTCGAACAAATAAAAGAGCGGATCCAAAAGGGTCAACTTTTAATAATTCAACAAAACAAAATTAATAATGGTTGATAATGAAACTAAAAATGGAGACATAAATGATTTGTTGATGAAAGACATCAAGTCACCTAAAAAGATCCAAATCACCATAAATTTTTAAGGATGATAATGATGATGATGACCGAGACTTTTCTAATATAATAATGAATCCACAATCATTAGATCATAAGAAACCTAATATAATCGTTCTTGATAATAACCAAAGTAATGAAGTTGAGGAATCATCATAATGAGAGTGATGATGTAAGTAATGTTTGCTTTAATCCAAAAATAAATATTTAATTAATTCGGACACAACTATAACGTTAATGCTATTCCCCAAGACTCGATATCTTTGTTTTAAAGTAATATCATCGGGGAATGAAAATTCTTTCGGAAATCCCATAATTGAAGCAACTTCATTTTCTGTGAAATATCTCAACTTTAATTGTGGAATCAAATCAATGTTTTCTTGTTCCAAAATTGAACCTTTTCGTTCAACTTTATTGAAAACTTTATCTGACTGTAAAATCAATTGTCAAGTGAGAAAATTGTTTTATAAAAAAAGTCATTTACAGATTGATAACTTACGTTTAAATCATCAGATAATTGTATGATTGAGCCTGTTGTCTCTACATAATGATAATATCCTAGTAATATCAAACAGATTGAAAAAAAAAATATATACAAAAATATATATTTAATTGCGGTTCTCTAAATCAAATTGCCTTAGTCGCATTAACCAACATATAGTGATTTACCTTTGGTAAAGCAGCAACTACGACGCGAAGTTGGTTTAACTATATCTATATAAAACGTCAAAAATTTCAAGAGATCATGAGTAATATATCATTATTTTATCGATTTTTTTAACTTACCAAATAACTTTCCATATTTAATCAAAGTCTGGAATCAAAAATTACATAGGAGGTCAAGATCGTCCATAAAGGTATTTCAAATAAAACTTGGATGATGAATTATTAAAGTACCTCGTTAGGAACGGAATATTTCTCGTAATTCACATCATCTTGTAAGAAATCACCAATAGGTTTAATAATTAATTCAGAAGTTAATGATTGATTGTATGAAGAGCAAGGAATATGGCATAAAATCTTTAAATGATCTGATTCTTTGAAGATAAGCGGTTGTTTCTTTGCCTTCATCAAATTTATTTACAAGTTAATATCGACATGTCGTTTTTAAAAACTTAAAATATGATTATTCAAGAAATACTTTAATGAAGTGGATTTACCAGCATGTAATATCTTGATCTTGAATTCGGGATTCCTAATTGAAGTGGTGTAATAAAAAGTTCTTGATAATTATAATTACAATTTTTTAATTGAGTTACAAGGGTATTTCTAGTATCAGATTCCTATGAAAAATGTAAAAAAGACAAAAAAAAAAGTTGTACAAATTACTGATTTAACCGAATTTTGATCATACATTTCTATTTTAATTTACCTACTTCGAATCCTTTAACATTTTCAATCAAAATATAAGTAGGAGGTGTAGACATCTTTGACAACATATCAATCAAAAAAAGAAAAGATTTTGCCCGTAGATCAGATGAACCTTTATGTAAACCTGTTCTAGTATATGGTTGACATGGTGGTGACATCAACCATACATTCGCGTTAAACGAATCATAATAACTTATTGACAATGATTCTATACTTTTCTAAACGAAAACGAAAAATTAATTGATTTTCATCATGTAAAGGATGATTAATTAATAAAGGATGGTTAACCTGTTGTACGATTGATTTTTTCTTGAACTTTTCGAGATTATGTTTATATACCGAATTCGCTACCGTATTGATATCAAATGCTGCAAGGAATTCACCTGAATTGTTTGATAATTGAAAGGCATAATGCTAAATTTGTATTTTTTAAAAAAAGAATTGAGCATTGATTTTATCATAGAATGCATGAATGCATATTTTTGTTAAAAAGTGAATTTATTACCATCCCACCAATTCCTGAATAAAATTCTAAAATTCTATGCATTTCTAAAGTAAAAAGGTTGGTCTATATGATTATTTATCGTTAAAATTTTTAATGATGTCATACATAACTTTGTGAATTGATCATCATCTTTCCTAAAGTGGAAATCTTTAACGTGTAAAAGAGATATATATAATTGGGAAAAAAAAAATTTTTTTCTTTCTCCCCATTATATTATAAGTTTCTTGGAAAGGTTATTTATTAAAACATAAGCAGATAACTCATTTAACTAGTCGAGGTTATTAATGAGTTTCTTGAAAGTATTTTTATGGCTTATATTGATGATGGTTTGGAGAATAATGATAATTTGGAAGAAACCATTTACGAAGCTACATTTGTGTAAATTAGATTTCTGTAACTAAATTAAGTATAGAAAAAAGTCTATAGGTTGTTTACTGTACACGTTATTTCAATATATACAACTTTAATAAAATGAATTATCTGATTAAGAATCGATAACAGACGCGTCAATTTTTTAATTTTATATACACTTCGATGAAATCGATCTTACTGGTTACAAACGTCCTGGAATGACAAACCGCCTGAGAGGGGGGGGAATAAAAAATGATAATAAAATATAAAATGAAAAATAATTCAAAACTTTAATAGAAACAAAAGGCTCTCTTTCTAATACATCGTTAGAACTGTGGGTTTAGATAGTAGCGGACAAGTGCTATATTTTTAGTCGTGTTGCGTTCAGTTAGGTTTTTCGGCTCACATTCCTTGTTTAAAAGGCGCACAATAAGATTCGAATGTAATTTGATTCTCAAACGAAAATAATAATACGTAAATTTCAGTTTAATTTAAATAATATATATTTTTTTATTAAATAAAACTTTATAAAGAAATAAAATTAAATTTTTCGTTATTCTTTGTTACATTATTTAAACAAAGTTTTGGTTGGTTTCTGACGAGTTCGGGGCGAATGCCTAATATTCTTTGTCTCTAAAAAAAAAAAAAATAAGGTAAATCATCAAGCATACTTCATATATTAATCAGATTAATAGTTTTATTAAATTTACGTTGTGACTTCTTCAAATGTAAATGTTCATATGTTGTTGGTCTTTTTGTTGAAGCAACAAAGAAAGGGTCCTTGTTGTGCATATTATAATATTTAATGTTACTTTCATTTTCTGATAGTATAATATCATGGTTTGAAGTTTCTGGTGACGAGCTGATTGGTATAAATCTTTTCTTTTCACTTGAAAATAAATGATTATTTGTGTAAATAAAATGTTCTTGGAGAGTCAAACACTGAAATAAATAGATTTCCATATATACAATTCTGAACCATTCGACTTAATTGTGCCTTTCCCTAACAAAATAGGATGTTTATTATTAAATTTGGCTCAAAATAATGTAATAATTTTTACTTGACAAATAAATTTTGTATCCACGAGTACCTTTGGGCACCTTTTCAGGTGCACGAATATAAACATCAGATGTCTGAGTAATTTCGTCAATCATCCTTCTCGGAACTAATTATTATTGTCGATTCGTATTGAAATGCATTTAAATGAAACAAAAAAACGATAAAGGAAAATGATACACACGCTGCTCCTCATTTGGTAATTTTGAATGCTTTTTATCATTTTTTTTGTTTTCTCTGTTTTCTTTATTATTTTCAGGAGACCACCAAGTGGGTAGCTGGTAATATTGCCTTGTTGGGTTTTGTTGCTTTTCCGACTTTTGCTGAACCATAACAAATATAATATAAGAAGATTGTAAGGTACACCTGAAACGTGCCATTGCTTCCTTTACAAACCTCTAGTTTGCTAACAGCATACACTAAAAGTTTCTTCGCAACACGACATCTTTCAGAAGGAGGATAATCCGAAAGAAAAGAAATTACGTGTGGTGGAAGTTCTTCAAGTGAAAGGTAACCGGTATCGGTTGCTTGCGACATGTTTCTAAACTTAGCAGGAAAAGGACGCGTCAATAAAAACAATAAAAAGCATAAATTTAATGATCGACTGATTATACAACATTTCCAAATAAACAATGCCCAGGATCACCTGACCAATTTAAATCGGACAGTATCAAAAGTTCATTTACCCATTAATTTTCTTTCGTCGTTATCTTTAGTAAACTGAAAAGTAAATTAAAAAGTACAAGGATTAAAGGTAATTATGATATTTCAGAGTAGATAACATAATACTTTTTGTAATTATTTATGTACAACAATCGCATTTAAATAAAATAAAATAACCATTTAAATAGAAGATTTAGCTGACATTCTTTCTTAGTAAACAATATTTTACTCTTTTCCTAAAAATAATTACAAAGAAGGCGGTGTTATTCCCTCAAGTCCTCACGATACGACAAACTTGTCTTTCTTAAGTGATATACTAATGCTTTCATATGCTATCTCTTCCCTGATGTGAATGAGTTTTAGCATTCCGAAGAATATCACTTTATTAAAAATTGAACTTATACATGATATCTTTTTCCATGTAATAATTAAACTAATTAAACCGAACTTTGACAATTATTCATGTCTTCCAAGAATTTGCTGCTAGATTATAATTATTTAAGGCAGATTCGGTTTCTATTTCAGGCTAAATTAAAGAAAAAATAAAAAAAAATGTCAAATTCTTTTCGCTACTAGTTAGGAAACTTTTTTATTGACATTAATTATTGTCTTTTTGTTTATCTAGATATATTACCTGTAAACCAACTTGACATCGAATCTTATCATACATTTCCATATTTACCGCTAATAATTTGTTCATATCGCGGATAAATTCCTTTAAATTTACAAAATATTGATATTAGTTTCGACAACGAAAAAGTAAAATGTTAAATAAATACCTGTTTCGCAACCATTACTCTATCACTTTCAATTTTTAGCAGTTCCAAATCCTTTGTTAATTTTTTTATTTTAGATAAAGCCTTATATGGGTTTATTGGTGCATGACGTTCAATTTCATATTTTCGAACAAATTCTAATTTGACTTTGGTTTCAATAAAATCGAGCTCTAAGAAAAAAAAATAAAAAATTTGAATGCTAGTTATCTTATAGGGAACGCGTAATTAAGAACCGAGAAGGAACTTGCTTAAAATCACCTGTACTCGCTTTTTCAAACTCGAGTTGAAGCCCTCTAATTGCACTGTTCATTTCTGCTAGTTAAAACGCGAAATTTCACGACTCTAGTTCAAAAGTTGATCGATCGGCTTTTTGAATGGGTTACATCAAATTTCTGACCAATAAAATTCGATCAATAATCGATTATTGCGATTAGTATATGAGAAAATTTTTTATAAAATATGCTTCGTTTATTTTTTTTTTTTTCAAAAAATGCTAAAAAAATGCGATAATTTCTTCAAATTACTTTATTTAAAATTTATTATAACTATACTACAATTACAAAATTTTAACAAAAAATTCAAAGCAGCAATTGAATCTTCTGAAAGAACATCTGTCTATTACTAAGAATATTGGTATATGCTCTACCCCAGATACTGGAAGCCAAATATATTCTAAAGACAATCTTGATAAATTTGGTAAGCTTTTAATTTTGTTTTTCCAATAAATATTTAAATCAAACTCACCATCTTCAAACTCCTTTTCCAAATTACAATAAATTTCCTATTCTTGATCTGTTGGCCTTTTAAATTCTTGAATTTCAGAATATTATAATGATGTAATGAACACTGATATTAAAACTCAATTGCCAGTTTAACTCTTTTGCAAGTTTTAAATAATAAATAAAGAAACCAACTTTAAAACACTAGGTAATGGGAACCGTTAGGAGTGTCTGAAGCGTTAATCAACATAAAAATATCTTTAATACTATTTATTTATTTATAAGTTAAAGATACAATTAATTAAAAAAATGTCTGTATTACTAAATTAAAAATTATCAATTTCTAACTTTATTAGAATAATTTAATCATGTTCTATAATTGTGCACATTGATCTTTTTTAAATAGTTAAATAAATGTTTGAAAAACTAAAAAAATTGTATTACATAAAATAATTAACAGAAATGTGATTGGCAGATTACGCGTTGTGACAGATACCACATGCATAATTTCAGCTCTAACTGGAAATGTCCTATGCTTACGCTTCAGACAATAATTACTTTTCCCTTCTATGTATCTATCATCTAGGATTTGATTGTGAATCACTACACTAGCTTGCTTTTGAGTTTATCACTTAGAATAAATAAATTATCTAAGTTTCTCCTAAGTTTCTAAACCTTTAAGTTTGTAAAGTTAAGTAAAATAATTTCAAAAAATTTCAGATACCTGTAGGGTGTAAGATTCTCTAAGGTTGTAAAATCTAACAATAAGATTCTTACTTGCTGTAATAAAGTAACTTAGCAGAATATATGCAAAGAAAATTATTCTTAGTGATAACATTAAGGGTAATTTGATAAAGTCTTATTTTATTTTTAACTTTGCATACATTTTTTCTAAATTTGTTTGACTTTAAATGTAAATTTAATGTGAATTTTTTTATGATCTAAAACACTTTGACAAAATTCATAAAACAGATTTTGACCATAAAAAATATCTAAATTAAATTTACATTTAAAGTTAGATAATATAGAAAAATATACGTAAAACTGAAAATAAAATAAGATTTTATCAAATTACCCTTAATATCAATAATAATAGGTTAAATGAATGTAAAATTATTAATATTACTTTAGTAAAAACATTTATACAAGCAAACATACTACTGTAATAGAAGAGTCAACCGCAAATCATATGACAACAGAATAAATCACCTGATCTACTACGCCAAGTATCTGCCATA